TAAATAAATATAAAGGAAACGGGCCTAGTGTGCGTTTTTTTTTTTTTATCAATACAAGACGTATTCGTAATTTCCTTTATTCACTGATCAGATCTATTAAAAGTATATGAAATAATTTAAGCTCATTGCCTCAGTTTTCGTGTGTTCATGAACAAACGAACAGAAATTTAATGCGAAATTTCAAGTTGTTCGCTATCAGATAGGCTTCGTCATATTTGATATGTAACATTAACATACAGTGAGAAAAAGGGCTTAATGTGTAAATTGATATTTTTAAGATCAGATCGATAAGAACTAATAACAAATCTCTCATTGAGCATTATACGATATTTCTAAATAATCACACACAGCATTGAAAAGTAAATAAATTAAAAAAGCGTAATTATGCGGCTCCAGCAATCGGTGTTATTTATAGCGTACGCTTACTCTGTTTTTTTTATATTCGAAACAGATCAAGCTCAAGGTAAGTATCGTTAATAGTATCATCTTCAATAAATAAGAAAAGGGCAGATATTGTATTCTCTCTGCAGCGGGTAAGATGTTTCAGTGTAGGGTATGTAGATAAGAGCATCGCGTGCGTTTCATTAGATTAAATGTTAATTATAATTAGTTGCTCTATTGACTAACTTATGTGTAATCTTGGTTTCGCTTGGCTTTGTGAGCTTTGCTTCGTTCGTTTATTCAATTGAAGTATTTATAACGCCCTGGAATTTCCCTAGAATTTGGAATTTCATCTTCATAGGGGTCAGACTTTTAGTAAATGCATCGATTGTTAAATTGATGACCCATCGATCGACATGCTTTTCTGTCAAATAACGTCAGTCATAAAATGAATAACTCAGTACCATAGTTACATATCTTCAGCATTCATATAAATCCATCTCATACTAATTAATATCTATTTAACAGGAACAACAACAGTTCGAACTGAATTGAGGAAAAGTACACCACGAATGGCTGGATTAGGGAATGTGTTGCCTGCACCGCCATATTGTGGTCCTGATTTTGGGGGCGATAAAATTTTTTCAAATTATGTAGGCTTGGGCCAATATCCCTGGATGGCATTGCTAGGTTACAAAAACGGTAAATGGAAAATTCGTTTAGAAGTAAGTTGGTGAAGGACTTTTTATTCATTCTTTCTTTCTTTCTGCTTACTATCTTTGGTGAACAACGTAGACAATGGTAACGACGAGTTCATGTGCGGTGGTAGCCTAATAAATCAACGTTACGTTTTAACAGTTGCTCATTGCGTTATCGATAATTTTGGAAAGAAAGGAAATGGACTGTAAATCGTTTCGAATTTTTTATTTAATTAAATTTAATTTTTCTCTTTTTTCTCCTCTATTTTCAGTTCCAAAATACGTTTAGGTGAACATGATCTAAATCAGGAAATGGATTGCGAATATAAAGAATGTAGCGATAAGCCTAGAGATTTAAATTATGAAGATATAATAATATATCCAGACTACGATCATCAAAGTCATCAGAATGACATTGCTTTAATTCGATTAGCCGATAATGTTAATTTCACGCTGTTCGTACTGCCGATATGCCTGCCTTTAACGGAAACACGTATGAATATAAGTGGAGGGGAATTTTTAACCGCCGCCACTTGGGATCGATTAGATGGAAATGCCAAGGTGAAACGCCATAGGAGGGTATCTGTTGTCGAGCATACAGATTGTGTCAATAGATATCGGGAGCATGATTTTCAGTTAACAGCTTCACAGATTTGTGCTGCCAGTGATGTTTCCAAAGATACCTGTGCTGGCGATTCCGGCAATCCTTTAATGCGCAACGCTTACACAACTGATTCGCATCACTGGTACTTAGAAGGTCTTTTGTCATTTGGCTATCGTTGCGGTTTCCAAGGTTGGCCCATTGTTTATACACGAGTTGCTGATTATGTCGATTGGATACAGCAAAACATAAAAGAATAGACAAACGTGGCTGCCTATGCTTTAAATTGACAAAATATTGCTTTTTCCTCAAATTGTCGCAGATAGAAAAACCAACGAGCAACGCAAGGAAGTTTTCATAGCTAAATTATTTTTTATATAAAATATTAAAAAAAGTTTAAAAAATTTTATAAAAACCTAATTAAAATGTTTTAACTTGGCAAAGCCGTTTGAGAAACGCCCACTTCATTCAACACAATTCTGTTCGCATTTATATGGGATCGGACATAAAATTAGAGCTGTTCTTGTACATGTGTGGTAAAGTTAGTTCAATTCGTTCACTATAAAATATAAAAAATCATAACATCTCATGCAATAACTTACTTTTGAAGAGAATTTTAATAAGGATCAAGATGGATCAAATTTCACCATAAAATACTAAGGGCTAAGACTTGGTCTAATTTCATCCCAATTTTCCGGATTCGCTAAGCATAGCAAAATTCTGTCGACAAATATTAAAAATGCGAAATTTTTTCATATCGCAACACTTTTATAATAGGTGGTGATGGAATGGATATACGCTCTATAGCATGGTTATTCACAGTTCAAGGTTTTCACTTCGCATGAGACATTATTCATAGAAACAAATAAGAAAATTGTAGTTGGACAATACCAACTATTACATACCCTGCATCACTTCATTATTTTTAGGCAAAGCCATAGATGTTATGAAAGCGGGCACATTAGAATATTAGACTTTTCTCTCTTGCGTTTCGTGATAGCACCTGTACATATTAGCCTCCAAAGAAAATAGATCTATGTGATCCGAATTAATTTTTTTGTTCAATCGCTAGTATGAATCAACTTTTGTAAAATATTAAAAATTAATCCTCTTTATAAAAGGTTAACTACTCGTGGGATACGGAGTTGGGCCAAAGAATAGACTAATGTGGTTCCCATTAGATCCACTTAGTTGTTTTTTTTTTTTTTTAATTACTATCGTAAACAAATTTTCAAACAAAAAAAATAACAATTAGACTCTCTTGACATACAACGGTTTACATTTCATAAGAATCCCTAAGGGCGATGGTATCCAAAAAATAAACCTACCTGGTCCAAATTCGGTAAGGTATTTTTGTCTGTCAATTTGCTATTATAAGCTAATTTTTATCATGAATTATTGGAAGTTCAACCTTTTCACCATATAAAGCTTCAATTTCCGTAGGAATAATTATACGAGAGAGGATTCACAAGATTGCCCCAGCCGGTGTAAAGTTTCCATATCAATTTGGAAAGCCGAAATGCTACTATTTAGTGCTTTTTGCTGAGAAATTTAAATTTTTCCCCATATGATGACTTTTCACAATAGGGCCTTATATGAAGGGTGGACCGATCCGAACAATTTTCAATAACGTTCATCCTTGGATCATAGTTCCGCAGGGTACAGCTTGAACACAAAAATACATGGGCATCAGACGGACAGACAGACAGACAGGATCGATCGGTATAATAAAAGACGCATCTATCTTAAGCCCCTCAGAACCTTACATGCGCAAAATCGAATAAAATTGAGTTTTACAATTTTTACTTACGCCTGGTATTAACTAAAACGATCACAAATCTTTTTCTATAATAATAATTCAAACATATATTTACCATATGATAGTAAAAAATTTTAATAATAATCGGGCCAGACGATTTTTTCGATCCAAGAAATATATTCTATAACCATCGGGTAGATAATAGGGTAATCATAAAGACAGCCAACGCTAAGACCTACAACAAATGGTTTTTCCTCGATTATTGCAATTAGGGGTCCACGACTATCACGCTACAAGTGAAAGTGATACAATCTCATTAAAATCAATATTTATATTTAGTGTACCTCGCAGGCGGATCCTCGATTATCGGGATCGATGGCACAGAGAATATTCTTTGACGTCCTTCTCTTACGATCGTAAAATCTTTGGTATTCAGGTAGGTAATATTGTTCACATCGATATTCTGACTGTGCTTTAAGAGTGGTTTTTAGGATATCTTCGGAAAAAATGCTGGCTAAAAAAAAGTTGAAATGTTATTAACTATGTTTTCTTGTTTCACTGCTTACCTCAACTAACCAAAAGAAGTTTGTCTATAGCCTAACACAATTACATCAGCATCGTCTTCTATATAAGGAACTGTCCAAAGACACGCTGCCCCTTCGAATCTCG